GCCAAAGACTGCAGATACCTCCTGGAGACTCTTCTGTACAATCCTGATTTATATGAAGGTACATTATAACCTTATGTCTGCACGTTAAAGAAAGGTACAGACTGTGATGCTGATGCTCCCAACAATCAGAAAAGGAAGGCAAGCTTATTGATACAGTTTAAGGTCAGCTGGAGCTATTTGGTTCAATTTTGATTTTTGGAAAAAGGCAGAAATAAAGGAGCAGGCTTGGAGAAAACTGAGTGAATATTGAAGGACCTGCTGGCAGGTTATGGAAATGTGTTACTGTAGCTTGATTCCAACTATTTGCAGTCTTCCAATTGGCTGCAAATATTTGTGTTTAAACAAGTAATGTGAGGTGAAACCTTATGCTTTGCTTTGCATTTGGTGTGAAAGGTCGATTAGAGAGGTTTAAAGTTATTTTTGAATCTGTTCATCTCTTAGGTCCTCCTGTTTTTTGTACCTGATGAGCAGTTACACAGTCTGTTTGGTGAGTACTATGAAAAATAATTATGGCTGAGCAGTTTTGCACACAATCATACAACCACTGCCTAGAAATTAACCAAAATACAAAATAGATATGTGCAGAATTTGTTAAATTTGTGGGTTTAAATTTCAGGAAGCAGCTGTGACATAGAGTTGCTGCAGTCAGTGGATGCCATGACAGACCTACAGCGACAGTGGTGGCTGGATAAATGTACTCAAAATGCGTACCTCATCACTCCGAAGAGCAGCTAAAGACTAGGATCCCAGTTTAAAGAGCTTAAGAAAGCCGATCCTGGTGAAGGAAATCCTAGGGAGAAAAGTCAAGTGCTAAATGAGTTATTTTCAGTTCCTGAAAGCTTTTAAAAATAATACTTTTAAAATAGAATAAAATGTTTATAATACCTCAGTTATTATACACTTTAAATAGTTAATAAATTACTTATAAAACATTTACAAAAAGTGTGAGGTTTTTTTTTTTACAAGTTTGATAGCTGTTTTTGTTGTATTTTTTATTAATTGCATTATTTTAGGACATACTAAAAATAAAAAGGCCTTTAATGTTATGACAACCAATCAAGTGGTTTTAGAATACAGATCTGGTGTATTGCCACAAGTCAAAAGCTTAAATCCCAAGAGTCCTGTTGGATTTATAAGTAGTGCTAATTACGACTAGTCCACATCTACAGCATCTGACGCTTTCGAATTTAATTGTGAGCCAATGGCCAGTTTTCAGGAGTCAACAATATAAATGATACTGGACTCTTTCCTGGCTCTGTCCATGTGCATTAATCTAATAACCTGGTGCAACTGTGATTCATCCTTTTTAATATAACTGATTTGAAAAGGTGAGTGAAGAAGAAACTCTCAGTGCATTGTGAGAGGTCCCCAGCAGCTTAAGTCTATTGCAGTGAAACGAACGGAGGGTTCAAGCTCACCTGATCTAGCTCTTCTACAAGCTGAAAAAAAAAATTAAAAAAAGGGGAAGTTTTTAACTCGAATGTTAAAAGTACAGAGAGTGAATGTCTCCCAAATCCAAACTGGGAGCTAGTTCCACAGAGGAGGGGCCTTCTTCTATGGAACCATAAAAAAAGAAGAAAGACATTTGCTTTTTGTTATGCACTGTATGATTAATACTTCCAGATTTGTAAGCAAAGGTGTTCTTGGAAATAATGTCCCCATCTGATAAGAACATATTTACCCTCAAACCGCAGCTGGTTTTTGGCTACACAGCGTCACTGTTTTGGTGTTATTTGCCTCACTGGTTTGTTTTATGAATCATTGGTACACCACAACATAAAGAAGGATGTGAATGTGGGACTAATAAAGGGTAACTTACATTGTGAAACTTTTCCATATTTTCTGGGTGAATAAATTGCTTCTAGCCGTAATATCAATATATTTCCAAGTTTATTTACATCACTAAAAAAGAAAAATCGGATTATTTACCTTAAAAAGCTTCTCATTTTATGCAAGTCATTTGGCAAGTTTCAGACATCACAGTTTGGTTTCTCACGTGACAAAAGAGAAATTCTTTGTCTCAAGAAGTTGGACCAGTTATCAAAGGCATGTGAGCTAGAAGCTTTGACTATCTTTTCTTGCAGTGGATTTGCACATTAGAAGATGCAAATCTGCTATTGCATCTTCTACCCTAATCTGCTCTGA